GAGACTCGCTTAAACAAAAATGTGTCACCCGGACCGAAAAAGAAATGAATCGACCTAACCTAACCAAGCCTAACCTAACCTAACCTAACCTAACCTCAGTCAGCTTAAAATAACCCAATCTGATCCGTCCTTAAATAACTTCGTTTGATCAACAGAATTGCAATGTTTCCAAGTCGTATTGAAAATATTGGGATAGTCGGAAACAAGAAAGTGTTATTTTTTTCTGTCGCATACGCCACATCCTGCCTTCAAGTGCCCGTGTGGATAGACTACAGTCTTGATAAACGAGTGGATGGACTACTGACTCTTTGTGAATGAGTGGATGGACATCTGAGTCTTTGTGGACGAGTGGATGGACGTCTGGGTCTTTGTGGACGAGTAAGTGAACTTCTGGATCATTGTGTACTAGTGGATGGATTACTGAGTTTTTGTGGACGAGTGGGTGAACTACAGTCTTGATAGACGAGTGGATGGACAACTGAGTCTTTGTGGACGAGTGGATGGACAACTGGGTCTTTGTGAACGAGTGGATGGATAACTGATTCTTTGAGGACGAGTGGATGGACTTCTTGGTCTTTGTGGACGAGTGGGTGGGCTACAGAGTCTTGATAGACGAGTGGATGGATTATTGTCTTAATGGACGAGTGGAGGGACTATTAAGTCTAAGTGAATGAGTGGATGAACTACTGAGTCTTAGTAGGCGTGTGGATGGACTACTGACGCTTAAGGATGAGTGGATGGATAGTTGCCTCACCTTTGAATCCACCAAAGAACAGAAACATCGCGTCGGGGAGAAACAGCAATAATCCCAAGGAAAGCCAAAAGCACGAAGTTTTGCAAGTTTGTCCAATCACAACTTTTGTGTGTATCATTGTACAGGCTGTATATAAAGTAGATTTTCTGACTTATTTGAAAACTTAGTAAACTTAAAAAAAATAGCATACATGGAACACTGTGCATAGGTTCGACGTGTTCTTCTATAATGTTTCGAAGGTTAAGTTTGTAAATGGGTTAGATAATTTATGGACATCCTGTATTACCATCTTTAGTGACATGTTTGTTTGTTTGTTTGCATTAACCAACAGGGATATAGTAGAGCATTCTCAGGTGTGTTTTTGAAAAACTCGTCTTTATGCCTTGATTCTTTAAGTCTATTTTGGGTTTATACTGCCCACAGTTACCGTGGTGATGTATCTGAGAAGAAATATCTTGAGTGTGTTAACTGTTGGTGAGACTCTCCCAAAAATTACTTTCTATCTCGGCGACTTTAAATCTTTATCATTAAGGTAAATATTATTTTCGTAAACGTTGGTTTGGTCGGTCCTCTTAAACCAGCTGTAATATCCACTGTAAACTTATTAAATCTTTCTGTCTGAGTTACAATATTATAAATAGTCGCAAACACAAATTGACGAATAAAATAACTATATTTAACCTTTAACCGAGTAAAGGTTTTCAGAGATCAGTGTTGTTTATCATTTAGGGGCCCCATAGATCAGTGTTGTTTATCCTGTAGGGGCCCCATAGATCAGTGTTGTTTATCCTGTAGGTGCCCCATAAATCAGTGTTGTTTATCCTGTAGGGGGCCCATAGATCAGTGTTGTTTATCCTGTAGGGGCCCCATAGATCAGTGTTGTTTATCCTGTAGGGGGCCCATAGATCAGTGTTGTTTATCTTGTAGGGGCCCCATAGAACAGTGTTGTTTATCCTGTAGGGGCCCCATAGATCAGTGTTATTTATCCTGTACGGGCCCCATAAATCAGTGTTGTTTATCCTGTAGGTGCCCCATAGATCAGTGTTGTTTATCCTGTAGGGGGCCCATAGATCAGTGTTGTTTATCCTGTAGGAGCCACGATAGATCGCATTATAATCCCCCGGCAGTATATCACCCACGGTTGCTTGTGATCCCCGATGACTCTCCCTGCGCTATTGAATCCTTTCAGTACGATTGGCTCCTTGAGATATAAGACAACTTCTCGTAAAGGTGAACGTGTGTCTACCATCACGTTATCTCTCCTCACACCAGTACTCATTTAGTTGGATGGCCCAAATCCCCTCCTACAATGCTTTTTTGGTTCATCGTCAAAATAAAATTCGTGCTCACTCAAAACTGTTGTCAGAACCAATTAGTGTACAGTACATGCTCCCCATTTTCAATTGAACCTACCAGAGGGAGACATTGATGATGAAATCCCCCACAGTTCAGCTAACCTACTGTACCTATCCCTTGGTCAGTGGGGACTGTGAGCTGACACAGGGGGCTCTTTTACCCATCCTCGGTTAAAGCTAACGTGACGAATGATGCTAATGCTTTAAGGATTATTTTTACACCCATTGTTCTTCGTTAATAGTATGAAATAGATAATACAATATCACATTAGTAATAGCAGTATGTTTACCATAACGATGATATGACTCCGTCGTGTTTGAAACAGCATGAAAACATACAGCAAACTTGAACGCGAATGTCTTCCTGAGTGAAATGTGTGTACGTATCATTTCGTGCAAATAATTGTATTTAATTGTCATTTTACTTTTCCAGTGTTTCTTATAAAAGTTTACTGTAAGTTGCATATGTCACTAATGACTATGTTTCGTTGCTATTTTATCGAAATTATTGAGTTTCTAATCAATATTGGCCCAAAATTTTCAGCATTTACAAGTTGTTAAATATTACTGCATGACCAAAGAAAACGGAATATCAAGAATACTTTTAGGATAGTTGTATAGTACAAGATCGTTGTGTATTATGTATTCTTAACACAATCTCATAAGAATGCAGATGCCGCATCTGTTCTTGAACTATTTGTATGCCTGAGGAAAAGTGAAGTTCGTACACTGTTTGATCAAAGTCAAACCATTTCAATTATCGTGAATATAAAAAATAAACTAAATGACAAAAATCCACAAATACATCAGGCTCACTAATGGTTGTATCTGCCTCCTGTGATCACCAAGAACTATACTCTCTGCCAGCGTCATAAAATTATTTGAATATTTATTTGTCAAATATGGCTTATAGAAAACTTAGACAAAATGTTGAAAATAGAAAAAAATCAAACTAATGATCCTTTCATAAACATTTCGTGCACCAGCGGCTCATTCTTGATCTAAACAAACAAACAAAAAACTACTAGTTTTTAAATCTAGCTCTTCAAAATTTAAAAAAAAAATAAAAAAAAATAAATCATAAAATCCAAAATAATTCTAGCCATTTAGGCTTCAATGCATGTTTGTTGTGGGAACCAACTGACATCAAACGAAAAATCAGAAAAGTTTATCAAACAGTTTTTTGTCGTAAAATCATAATGAATTGAAAGCTTACCCCCGACATCCAATGACGTGAACTTCGGTATTTAGAATTAAAAATGGCTACCACATGGGTTATTTTGAATATTGGAGACAAAAAAAAATCTCATATTGTTGTTGCTTTTTGGTGACATCACCGAGTAGGCTGTAATCTGTTTAACACGTCTAGTGATGTGACGTATCACCACCTGATAGATATGTTTCAGTCTGCTTATTTGAGGTTGAAAAGTGAATTTGGTTCCCATTGGCAGTGTGGATACAACACACTGTATACTATACTTTCGGTACACAAGGGGGCAGCGTGGCCGGGAATGTACTCAACAGTCTTCACTTCCCCACACGCAAACTTAGGTCCTCATTGGGTGAACTGTGTGAACCAGCAACCCTTAGGACGCGAAGCGAGTATTGTATCCTTTCAGCCGTGGCACCATATTATTTCAGGGTTATTTTATCTAAATATAATATATATGATAATATTGTTTTAAAAATAAGAAGTAGATTGTATGTTTATTATTCTTTCTTTGTCGCTAAAATATTTTCTTTACGTAAATAATAACTAATTGAGATGTAACTACCAGGTTTTATAAATCGGTTTTTGACATAATATGGATTAGTTTCCACAGTGAACAAATAGCAACGTGTTGTAGTCGGCCGTGGGTATCGAGAATTCCTCTAAATTAGCAACGTTTATTCAGTCACGTACCGCAATAATATTTTAGATAAAACGATTAATGGTAGAATGATACCCCTAAATATCTATAACAGGCTTTATAATGCCCGAGTCTACATATATTCACAGTCTGCTTATGAGAACAGAATGTAGGCAGGAGGTAAAATTCACCGTATATGTCAGAGGGAATTGTGTACGGTTTTATATATTAAGCTGGGTGATGTTTCGAGGCCCTTGACAAAACTGCTGCAGCTGGTGCGGTGTTTGGTGGAATTTCTGCTTCCCTCATATGCTGTTGCTGCTATGTCTGCCAACGCCCACTGGCAGACTATCAAGCCTAGTCCAAATAAGACCAAGAGAAGGTCTGGGAAGAAGAAATTGCAATCAGGAAGACAATTTCGACGCTATTGTTTTCTGTCTCAAGGTTGTTTATCGAACTTGCAACATGTTCTTTTTAAAACACTGAAATTGTTCACACCGTGTGAACGTGTCTCGCTGCTAAAAGACTCACTTTGTCTCTTCCTCTTGATACACTGGATAGACTCTCTCCAAATACTTGTTAAAATCGTATGCTGTAAACATATAAGTTGTAATTAAACCAGTAGACGATTAGTTATCATGTCAACACAATTTATGATTATCTCTGTTGCTGTACCTTACCCATATAACTTCAAAAGGATTATCTAAAGTATCCTAGATATTCACACTTACTCATCTAAGTCACCAGTGCAGGACATGGCGTTGTTACAGGTCATGAGTTATCATCTAATAACCAAAACACATACGAACTGTACTAAAAGTTATAATAGAGATGCATGATTACACACCAGAGCCACATGACGTGAATCTAATACACTTAAGTTTTATAACTAAGAGCTGTACCGTAACTAACTACAGAGTGTGCAGCTGCCAAGCGGTCCCAGTGTTGCGGGCGGCGATACGTGAAAGCGGGGGGAGGGGAGGAGTGTTAATGGGCGAGTGTTAATGGGCGGGTGTTAGTGGGCGTGGAGCAGATCATTACCTTGGGCGGCCACTCTCCTTGGACAGCAGTGTAAGCACTACTGTACCCGGGGACATTCTCTGAGGCATCAACCTTAGTAGGAGGAGGAGTAGCGTTCTGTCTGCCTGTCTGAGGTGAGGCCGCTTTCATAGGAGAAGACCGAGGTTGGGCAACGTTCTGAGGAGCATACTGAGGTTGGGCAGCGTTCTGAGGAGCATACTGAGGTGGTGCAGATGCGTTCTGTTGAGCATGTTGGGGTTGAGCAGCTTGCTGGGGAGCATACTGAGGTTGGGCAGCACTCTGGGGAGCATACTGAGGTTGGGTAGCGCTCTGGGGAGCATACTGAGGTTGGGCAGCGCTCTGGGGAGCATACTGAGGTTGGGCAGCGCTCTGGGGGGCATACTGAGGTTGGGCAGCTCTCTGCTGAGGGACGCTGGGCTGAGAGAAAGGAGAGCCGGGTGGTCCAAAATTCGCAGGCTGGGAGTTGGTCTGGACAGGCACCGGGTACTCTCTACTGAAGACTGGGGGGTGCTGAGAGGAGGACGAGGTCTGCTGAGACATTTGGTGCTGCACAAACTGGTGCTGTGGTTGTTGGTACTGCTGCTGTGATCCAGAAAACTGCTGCTGGTAGTGCTGTTGGACTTGGTAGCTCTGTTTAACCGTCCTCATCTCCGAAGAAGAGGAAGTTACCTGCTGTTGTCGCTGCTGCTGCTGCGACACCGTCTGCTGTTGCTGCACCTGATCCATGCTGGCCTGTTGGAAAACGTCTCACTGATTCCATGCTTTCTCTCGCCACCTTTCATTAGTTTGAAGGTTAAGTGTAGACTTTAGATATATATATATGTATATTCATTTTACTTTAATACGATCTTCAAGTCCCTGCTTTTGGGTCTACCAAAGAGAAGCTTTCAAGAAGAGGCAGGGGATGATTACTGCAGCATGTTATAAGCTAAGCGCCCTAACATATGTGTGTGTGTGTGTGTGTGGGCAGGAGAGAGCTTAGTAGCATTCAGAGCTGCGTGTTACCACCTGGGTTATCGTCCCCAGTCCTTATAATACATTCGGCCATTTATTCAGAATTCGGATATTTAGAGGTCTTATGTTTAAGGATCCGGTATCGAGAGCTCCGAGAATTAAAGGTTCAGTAAACAGAAATCCGGTATCGAGAGCTCCGAGAATTAAAGGTTCAGTAAACAGAAATCCGGTATTCAAAGATCCGGTATTGAGAGTTCCGGTAGCCAGTGGCAGGTATTAAGATCCCCGTTATTAACTGTTTTAATGCCAATGGATTCAGAATTGCCAGGCTGATGACATCTGCGGCGGCGGCACAAGATAGCGGCTGGTGGATCTGTTTACTGTACGTCTCCTACGTGTTTACTCAGTTGGGGAAGAAGCCAACTGGATGTATTGTATACGTAGTCTCAATTACTAAATCACGATAATTTGCTTTATGTAATGCATAAATAATACTTAATGATTCTAAAGTTAAAGAAAAACGTTCCTTAAATATTCATTAAATATTTAGAATAACTAAGCATTACAAGTGAACTGTTAAAATATTATTTTTTTCTTATCTATCTAGATATTTAGTTGTTTTTGGCTAAGAGTCGTATGTCGTGTTCAATAAATGATTTCCATGGTATGTCGTAATCAACTAATTCAATCCCCAGTTCATACTATCGCTAAGTTATCTCTAAATGTATACGAGGGAAATTTAATAGTATCAAGAAGACGTTAAAAAATTATAAGAGTGCATTTAAATTTCTTCCTGAAGTATCTCTGTCAACAGCGACCTACATAGACTAACTAGACTTGAACCACCCACCCACCTGTCGCCTGCTTTGGGACATATCTCTCAGTGCACCAAACACTTGATGAATTATCTCCCTAGAAATCCCACTCTCTTGTGAAATATATATTTGTAAATTACAAGCTCTTTGAAACATCTCTGTAAATGGCATGCCCTTCTGTACATAGCTCTATAGATCGCTCACTTCATGGATTATTATCTCTCAATGTAAATAGCGCCGCGTTTGGAATTTACTATGAACAAACGACAGTCGTTGTCAAGGGTAACAAATGTTTATCTCTTACAACTCGTTGCCAACAAAAAATTTAACCTATTGAGGCAGGATGACTCCTCTTGGATGAGTTGAGCAGTTCGCGTGCGGGTCGGTTGGTTGGTCGGTTACGCGATTCAGTTGGTCGGTCGGTGGGTCGGGCGGGTTTACGTGTCGGGCGATGACACACAGCACCTGAGCATTAAAGGATGAATTAAGCAGAAGCAGCGGGTCACCTGCGGGTAGTTAGCTGGTCTGGGCGGCACAGGCGGGGGAACCTGGTCGTTGTAGGCAGAAGAGGCTACCTGATCGGGCTGGTCCTGGTCGGCGTTAGGCTCGGGGCGAGGAGGCCACTCTACCGGACGACCTGTGAATAGAGATAAACAATATGAGTCAACACGTCGCTCCTCTGCCAAGTGTCAAGGGATGGTAGTGGGTGGGCTGGGTGGGTGGAGATGATGTCAGATGCTTAAATGTAGGCCTTTGATGGCCACGTCCTCCTTTCCTCTCTCTCTCTCTCCCCTTCTTCTCCTTACATCCATCCTCCCTCCCTCTATCTCTACCTCTCCCCCCCTTCATCCTCATACAAGCAGAGAGCAGAAAGGTAATATATTCCTGCCTCTCCTTCCCCTCATATAAAATTAATAAAGATGGGGGGGGAAAGGTGACATTATCCCCCTTTCTCTCCCCCTTCATATTGACAGACACGGAAGAAACAAGGCTCCTCCCCTCTCCTCTCTCCCCTCAGATAGAGAGAAAGTGAGAGATAACTGGTTGTGTGTTTTCAGTAATCTCAGTGTGGCTGCATCCTCTTTTTTGTACATTCCCTCGTTCTTCTTCCATTTCTTTCTCTCCCAATTTGGAGTTTTCTAGTCTTCATACCACCAGCTGAATCATACCACTATCTAAGTCATACCACTATCTAATTCATACCACCAGCTGAGTCATACCACCAGCTGAGTCATACCACCAGCTGAGTCATACCACAAGCTGAGTCATACCACCAGCTGAGTCATACCACAATCTGAGTCATACCACCAGCTGAGTCATACCACCAGCTGACTCATACCACCAGCTGAGTCATACCACCAGCTGAGTCATACCTGGCTGAGTCATATACCACTGAGTCAGCCACCAGCTGAGTCATACCACCAGCTGAGTAATACCACCAGCTGAGTCATACCACCAGCTGAGTAATACCACCAGCTGAGTCATACCACCAGCTGAGTAATACCACAAGCTGAGTCATACCACCAGCTGAGTCATACCACCAGCTGAGTCGTACCACCAGCTGAGTAATACCACCAGCTGAGTCATACCACCAGCTGAGTAACACCACAAGCTGAGTCATACCACCAGCTGAGTCATACCACAATCTGAGTCATACCACTAGATGAGTCATACCACAAGCAGGTCATGCTGCTAACTAAGTCATACCACTATCTAATTCATACCACCAGCTGAGTCATACCACCAGCTGAGTCATACCACAAGCTGAGTCATACCACCAGCTGAGTCATACCACCAGCTGAGTCATACCGCCAGCTGAGTCATACCACAAGCTGAGTCATACCACTAGCTGAGTCATGCCACCAGCTGAGTCATACCACTAGCTGAGTCATACCATTAGCTGAGTCATACCACAAGCTGAGTCATACCACTAGCTGAGTCATACCACTAGCTGAGTCATACCACAAGCTGAGTCATACCACCAGCTGATTCATACCACTAGCTGAGTCATACCACTAGCTGAGTCATACCACCAGCTGAGTCATACCGGCAGCTGAGTCATACCACTAGCTGAGTCATACCACAAGCTGAGCTGATACCACCAGCTGAGTCATACCACCAGCTGCAGCTGAGTCATACCACTAGCTGAGTCATACCACCAGCTGAGTCATACCGGCAGCTGAGTCATACCACTAGCTGAGTCATACCACAAGCTGAGTCATACCACCAGCTGATTCATACCACTAGCTGAGTCATACCACTAGCTGAGTCATACCACCAGCTGAGTCATACCACCAGCTGATTCATACCACTAGCTGAGTCATATCACTAGCTGAGTCATACCACCAGCTGAGTCATACCTGTAGCTGAGTCATACCTGTAGCTGAGTCATACCACCAACTGAGTGGTATAATTTTATTTCATGAGTCATACCTGTAGCTGAGTCATACCTGTAGCTGAGTCATACCACCAACTGAGTGGTATAATTTTATTTCATATGATTTGAAAGAGTTGTATAGATTTACCATAAATGGAAAGTCATTTATCTATTTATTTGTTTATTTATTTTCGTCGTTAATAACCACAGTGCAGAAATCACCAATGTGGAAAAAAAAACAAATTCTAGCCCAAATTGACCATTGAATTTCAAAGGGATAAAAGACTGAATACGAATAATCAACATTACGGACAACGTACTGTAATGAAAGACTGCACACAAGTATTGGTGAGTGTTCACACAGGTGTACACAGGTACACACGTCAAAATCCCGCTCACACTTTACAGTTTCTAGTTTTTAGTGGGCGGCTCTGTGTTAGTAGCCTTTGTTACACACACACGCACACACACACACACACAGAAACATGTATATGTACTATATGTGAACAGTTAATTTGTCAATTCAGCTTTAGTTTGAAATTCAATGAATTTTTGCAGCTCTCTTTTGAATAACCTAATCTAACCAAACCTAATAACCAACTCTAATCTATTCCTTCAAACTTAACCTATAGATTATATATTTTGTACTTTAAAAATATATTACAGAAATATTATAAGTATTATAAAATTTAAAAAATCTCATGCTCTACAAATTCGGATACAGATTTGAAATTATATATATACTGTATATATATATATATATATATATATATATATATATATATATATATATATATATATATATATATATATATATATATATATATATATATATATATATATATATATATGTGTGTGTGTAAGTGTGAAATATTTCATATGACAAAGAGTGCTCAATTGGACGTGGGTTCCACAACGATAGCACACAGTATGCCAAGACCTTTTTCTTTTTCGGTTCACAAAGTGGTTATATTTCCTGCTCTGCACCCGACAGCCTTCATTGCCCAGCTTATAAAGTTAGGTACACATAGAAAATATGTATTAGTTTAAACAAGCACGTGTCTCCACACAATTAAACGACTTAAACACACAGAAACACAAACAACCACACCTCCTCATTCTTACACCAATCCAATAGTGGAAGGATTTCCACAATCACAAAAATTCAAATATGCTTAACATAATGCCAAGGCAAACAGCATAAAAATCACCCACGAACAACTACACAACTGTCTTAATTAAGTAAACACACAGCTTCAAATAAGCAAGCATAAACGGGTACCCAATTCTATAAATCAAACACAAGATAAACAAGTTATATAGAAACACAGTCACAGCACTCTGAAACAAATACAACATGACACAAGCAAACAAAGACAGAATTTTCTAAATATAAACAAACAATGTAGAGAAAGATCCTTCCCGCTCTCTCATGGGACCACCACGACCCATATACCTCGCAATGTCTCCCCCATTATGTTCAGGAAAATTCAAATTCTAATGTGTTTTTTTCACCT